TGGTTGGGTTTGGTTTAGTTGGACTGGGTTGGTGGGGTTGGTTGATTGGATTGATTGGTTTGGGTTGTGTTGATTGGGTTGGGTGGATTGGATTGATTGGTTTGGGTTGTGTTGATTTGATTGGGTTGGGTTGGGTTGGGTGGATTGGATTGATTAGTTTGGGTTGTGTTGATTGGGTTGGGTGGATTGGATTGATTGGTTTGGGTTGTGCTGATTGGGTTGGGTGGAGTGGGTTGGGTTGGGTGGATTGGATTGATTAGGTTGGGTTGGGTTGGGTTTGGTGAGGGGAAAATTACTACTTCCACTACAGTTGCAGAACTGAGCCTCAGAGAGGTCAGATGGTTTACCCAAAGTCACACAGAGACACAGGGAGTGGCAGGACCAGCCTTGGGACCAGGAGTTCCAACTCTACCACTGTGTTTGTCTTCTTGCTCCCACCTGTCTCGCCCTCCCCTCCCTCCCTGCCTCCCTCCCTGTCCTCTTGCAGACCATGCCAGCTGCCAAGGACAGGCTGTTCTGACAGAGTCTCTGTTCCAGGTGCCTGGGAGCCCCTGTGTGCTAGAGCATGCTGGGATCAACCTTTCCGGAACCTCTCGACCCACTGGGCTTTGGGCCAGCCTCGAGCCCTCAAGCCCTCTTGACACAGAGATCTGGTGCCAGAGTCAGGTGTGGACAGATGTCTGACAATGTGGGGAAGTGGTGGGTGGGACTCTGTCCTCACATGCACTCCCGGTCTCAGAGGGTCTGCACCCACTGCCTCCCCCATCACAGCGCCTTTGGCCGGCCACCCAGGAAGCCAGGGTGCTCAATCAATCTCACGGACCCTTTGTCGGCTCAGAAAATTCTAGAAGAGCTTCTTGGGAGTTTAGACTTAAAGAGCTCTGGGCTGCCTGGATTTGCATACCAATTTAGGTATGCAACCAGAGCCCAATTTGAGACAATGAGGATGGGGGGGGGCGGCGCTGGTGAGTCCAGAAGTCCATAGGAGAGGTTGTTAGCTCCTTCCTGTGCGCCGGAAAAAAGCTTGGGTGGACCCTCCCAGCCGGACTTCGCTCTTTTAAGCCCCCACTGTTGCCTTCACAGACTTCAGGAGAAGGGGAGGTCCCTTCCCAGGACCGTCAGGAAGACAGCATCCAGGGGCCTCTCCACCCCTCACCTGGGGAGAAGCTGTATTTCTCAGAGTTCATCCCTGTCTAGCACACCCTCCTGGGCCTGCCCTGAAGCCAAAC